CTGATTCGACCAACATCAGTTCACAGGGTTTAAGCCCAGTCCCTTAGGGAGGCCTGGGGAGGGGCAAGGCCCAAGTATATAAAGCTCCCTGAGGGTCAGCGTTGGCTCTGCGCCTGCGACTGTGATTCAAAAACGTCCCGGTGCCCTTGGCTCTTTTCGGAATCTGACCCCGAGCTTGCACGGGACACACTGCCCAGCTCGGGTGAGAAGGGTAGCTTCTGGGACCCTTGCCTTTAACCAGCACTGCGAGCACAGAGTGCACTGGATCTGCGAGAAGAAACCGCGTTAACTAGTTTGTCCCTAAGGCCGCCTCGTAGTCATCGCCGCGGCGCCTTGCGTCTCCGGGCCGCATTGCCATGGCTGCCCGTGGTGTCATCGCCCCAGTTGGCGAGGGGTTGCGTTACGCTGAGTATTTGCAGCCCTCGGCTAAACGACCCGACGCCGACGTCGACCAGCAGGGACTGGTGAGTGCTGCCAGCGGCCCCCACCCCCGTCTGGCTCCCTTGTAGTTTCTGCTTCTGCCCTCTACCGCCTCACCCTTGAACCTTTGTATTCCCCCGCATTCGCTCACCGTCTGTTCCCTAGCGCTCATTTGTTCAGTGGAGAGACCGCCTTGTGCTTGGCTTTGACGTTTGGGCGTGGAAGACGGAGCAGCAGTTCTGAGGATCTGTCTCCTCAAGGAGCTTCCAGTCTTGTCTGGGACACAAACCAGAAAATAGGCAATTGCAAATACAGTATAAGTGCTGTATGTGGATTTTCTTGTCTCATAGGAGGCCCTAATACCGTCTTGTAGGGGACGTGGTGGGATCAGGGACGCTTCTTGGAGAAAGCTGTAGTTAAAAATTAGGATCTGAATGAATAAAAGCAGTTTATTCAGCAAAGAGAAGGGGAAAAATGGTTTCAGGTACCAGGAGTACTATCTCCAGAGTCTCCGGCACAGAAACAGGGCCCTGTTGGAAACTGCAAGTGGTGTATTCAGGATGAACCGTAGAGGTGGAAAAAGGAAGGGTCTAACAAAGAAGTGTCCAACAGAAACATATTGTGAGCCACATACGTATTTTTACGTTTCTGTAGCCATGTTAAACAAGAGAAACAGGTGGGTTTAATTTTAACGATGTATTTAACCTGATACATGCACAGTTGCACGGTAATATTTCAACATTCAATATGAAAAATTGCCCAAGTGGTGGTTTAGGCTTGTAATCCCAGCGCTTTAGGAAGGCCAGGCAGGAGGATCACTTGAGACCATGAGTTGGAGGCCAGCCTGGACAACATAGGAGACGCCATCTCTGCAAAAGAAAAATGAAAAATATCAGCTGGGCATCGTGGTGTGAGCCTGTAGTCCTAGCTACTTGGGAGGCTGGGTCTGGAGGATCACTTGAGCCCAGGAGTTTGAGGTTATAGTGAGCTATGATTTCACCACTGCAATTCAGCCTGAGAGACAGAGCTAGACCCTGTCTCCAACAAAGAAAAAAAAAATGAGGCAATAGAGATTTAGAAAGCTTTAATTAACTTGTCCAGTCCAGGATCATCCCTGGTAAGTGGCAGATCTACGATTCCAAATGCTACACCTTTTCCACTATGACTTGCTGACTCCTTAGAAATAAGGATTTCTGGATATAGTATTCAGTGTATGATATAGCTGAACAAGATTAGGCAGAAGTAATCCTTTTGTGGAGAGTTGTAAAAATTCCAGTATCAGGCTTTCAAGGTATTTGGGAGCTGTGGTAATTGGAAGATAGAACTAATATTGGTGATTTTTACATCTGTAGGTATTTTTACTTGGAAGAGGAGAGAGTTTACAGAATCCAGAGTATCAGATAGGAAGCATCTTTAGTAGTCCGGGTGCATGAAGGCTAAAGTGTAGGCCAGTGATTCTCAAACTGTCTGAGTCCTGTAATACCCTGAAATCCTGAAGTCAGATTCATAGACAATAAAATCTACTTATAAACATAACTTTTAATAACCAATATAATGCTTTAATTGAGACATAAAGGTGAAATATTTTATTAGAAAACACGTCTACAGGCTGCGTGCGGTGTCTCGCTCCTATAATCCCAGCACTTTGGGAGGCTGAGGCGGGCAGATCACTTGAGATTAGGAGTTCGAGACCAGTTTGGCCATCAGGGCAAAACCCTGTCTCTATTAAAGATACAAAAATTAGCTGGGTGTGGTAGCACATGTCTGTAATTCCAGCTACTAGGGAGGCTGAGGCAGAACTGCTTGAACCCAGGGGGCAGAGGTTGCAGTGAGCGGAGATCACGCCACTGCACTCCAGCCTGGGCAACAGAACAAGACTTTGTCTCAAAAAAAAAAAAAGAAAATAACATGTTAACATGTCTACAATTTAAATATGTAAATACTTAGACATTACTACATTAGAAAACATAATGAGTAATTTAGTTGCTGGCATATTGCACCAATTCATAGAATCACTGTGTGTGTGACAGCTACCAATGCAAATTATCAAATTATTATATTGGCTCCTCAAATAGCAGAGGGACTATGGTTCTTTACAAACTTGTTTTTCCTAAATGGCGAACAATTTCTGGTAAAAATTTGAACAAAACAGTGGAATCTCCCTCAATTTACATGGCACTTGCACTTGTGGAAGATTCAGTCTGTACTAAAACAGTGTAATAATGATATATTTATATATAATAAAGTTCTGGACTAAGATTATCATAAACTTTTCACCTACTTAATCTTTTAAAATCGAGGGATGCAAACAGTTCTTTGTTATACAGGATTGTCTCATGTATTTTAGGACTTCTTAGGATCAACAGTCCCCCATCCACCAAATACCCTCCCTTCTATTCAAATTATTGTGCAACCAAACAGGGCCTCATGTACTTTCAGAATGTCCCTTAGGGGTTGTTCTGCTTCTTTTGGGAGTTCCTGGTCCAGGCAATGACAAATAATGAGGTAGAAGATTGTTGATAACAACTTTAGGCAACTTGGAAGTACTAAAAGCAGTGAGAAGCTGACAAAAGGTAAATATTAGGAAAGAAAAAAGATGGCCTAGGTGTGGGGCATATTTGGTAATCTTATTGAAAATAGAAAATAATGTTTGTCAATGAGTTAAAGAAAAAAACTTTCACGCTATTTTAGAAATGTAATTCATTTTAAGGTTTATGAAATACATCTTCTTGGGCTGGGCATGGTGGCTCATGCCTGTAATTCTAGCAATTTGGAAGGTCAGGTGGAAGGATTACTTGAGCCCAGGGGTTCGCAACCCAGGCTGGGCAGCATAGTGAGACCTCTGTCTCTCTAAAAAGAAAAATCAAAAAGAAATAAATATATCTTGTCATATTTATTAAATAACTTTTTCTTAGGTAAGCTTCCCTTTTGAAACTAAGAACTAGTGTTCAGTAGCCTGTTTTTTTTTTTTTTTTTTTTTTTTTTTTT